TCTACCCACATCCTGAGTTCGAAGAAGAACTCAAACCACTGCTGCAGGCTGAAAAGCAGATGCACACAAACAAAAAGTACTGCAGTTAGGACATGCAACAATAGTATTTAAAACATATTATTATTATATTGCCCATCATCTTCAAGAACATTATGGATCAATTAATTTACCTCGGAATAAATTGGTTAGTGTGTTTTTTCTGTGAGGCTATAAAACTGTGATGTTTTTAATTAACCCTCTAACTAACAGGCTCAGCCTTCATCACTCTCCGTTACTTCTCCACACGTTACTTCTCCACACGTTACCTCTCCATCGTAGCCTACGTCTGTTAAGATCTTCACCAACTTATTCATCATTACGCATGCGTCAGCGGCCCAGTTGTGCCCAACCTTGATTAAACTCCGCCCGGCAGGTGAAGTTTCCGCTCTACTTTTCACCAGAAATTGAAAGTAGAAGTACTTTTAGAGCCAAAAAAACCCCGAGCCAAAAAACCCGGATATAATTAATTTTAATCATCTTAAGACCGTCGAAACAAAGATTTCAAATGAAAACGAATAGAATTATCAAACTGTTCTTGTTTCTTGTTCTCGCTGGTTGTGCGGGTAGGTATTATATCTTTATTAATGGTCTTGTGTCGAAATCTGTTTCGTTGTCCCTGTTTGCAGACCCAGATCTGCTGTGCCCCGGTAAAATCACACATTCGAGTTTTAACAAAACTCCACATTTAGCAGTGGGTTAATTCAGATTGATAATAAGAGGAAAAGAATTGATTTGCTGTTCTAATCCAGAATATCAAGCTGAGGCGCAGTAGTCAGGGTTCGTACACCACGGTGCGTGCGCATACACAGCAGGTGTAACTGGTGTACTAGAGCGCGCGTACAGCAATTTATGTACTGACGCGCAAAAAGAAAGGAATAGACTGTATGTGATGGGGACTCGGGTTTGTGAATAGTACGGACCATCTCAAACATAACCGACTCCTGTAGGTGGACATAAGAACATTCTTTAGAGGAGCTGAGACAGAGGTTTGGAGAGATGAGGGAAGGCCTGGCTGCAGCTGGTGAATGAGCTAACATCAGTTTAGTTGGCTAGTACGTAACCAGGCACGGATGTTAAATGAGAAATAAAGTAGAGGTCTGTCCATTAGTGCATGTGATCAGCTGGACTACTGTTAAAACGCTGTTGGCTACAATAAGTAAAATGAAGCCAAGTGGTCTGTGTTAACTTTGGACTGTTCACTCTGAGTTTAATGAATATAATAATATTAGCTGCTCTTGTCACACAGTGCTAATGATGTCTGTTTTATGCACATCTAACAAACAACCTGAGGCAGGAAGGGAAAGTGTGGAGGAATCTGTCTGTGTGTGGAGACGAGTGTGTGACCAGCATCTACTGCACAACACAGTTCTTTAGTAATCGGAGCATCGATGTTATGGGGCCTTATGACTTACAAAACAATTAGATTTTCTTTTATTAATGATTTTTTTGGTAGATTAACTTGTGAAAGTTGAACTCTGACAAATCAAAATGCTGGACAGGCATATTATTGTGAAATGCAGAAAACTGCAACAAAGGTTTGACAGAGGGCTTTGACCTTTACGCCATAAAAACATGTTGAGAATGTTGTTGATGTAGGTTTAAATAAATGTTTTCATAAAGATTAATATCTCTACATTTTACCTTCACCACTAGTTGTGTCAGCAGCAGCAGTGGGCTGAGCACGGAGCGTTCACATATCACAGTGTAGAGCACGTTTCATTCATCCACCAAGAAAACTAACTGTACTTTGAGTTATGGGGGGGCCTGTGCCCCAGTAGAGCTTTATGTCTAGCACCGCCCCTGGACCGATGCGTTTCTGGTTGCGCACTTTATAAAACCTGAGCTTCCGGTTTCATCCACATGTGGAAACAGCTTCTATGGTTTCTCTGTTTGCAAATATGGAGGCAGATGTTCATTAAACCACAGAGGCAGCTCGTTTGCAGTCAGAGCCCCCAGAATAAGAAGCAGCCTCCCAGAGGAAACAAGGTCTCTGAGTCTGGGTGTAACACGTTTCTGCAGGCTGGTCTTCTGGTCTTTGTACAAAGCTGACTGTTTATTCCTCCTGCTGCGCGCACACTAGTGTCACTTTGTAACCGAAAACTGTGAAACTCGCGTCCTGGCGCAGCTTTTCTGTGTTAATATGAAATTCACGCTGCTTTGAATCGACTTTCTGATCTGAATCTGTGTTTGTCACAACACAAACAGTACATGTAGTTACTAGTTTGGAGCCGAGTTCGATGCCACATGAATTAATTCATTATTAGAGGAAACAACCTGTTGCTCATCCAGACGTGGTGCGTGTGAGGGGAAAGTCAGTGGGGTTCAAACTAAAACTGAGAGTTCCTGAAAAGCCAGGCGGGGTTTCAAAGCTGAGATGGAGGAAACCAGTCTGACCAGAAGAGTCCACTAAACCAACTGGTGTGAGATGAATCAAACTCCACACACAGGACAAAGAAATGTGTTGTGTGTTTCTCAGCTGGTCAGAGTGAAACTTCTTCCATCTTTACTTCTGCTGCTTTATAACCTGCATTTTATCCAAGTATTGTAGTGAAATATCACACACACAGCCTGTCACCACTAATGAGGGGATTTCTAAGAGTTGGCCCAGGACGCATGAATGTGCTCATCGTGACTTTGGTCCTAAACACAACACGCCCATTCTGCAGTTCCTCTGTCTGAGACTTGTCACATCGTGACACGGACGAGTCAAAGTACAGTCCTGATGTGCATCTCTGCACAACTGGGCTTTACACACTTGTGAACATTAAACCAAAATGTAGGATATTTCTATATTTATCTGCACTGGTTTCTGTGTCGGACACTGTGATCTGCTCTGCTGAGGAACTATGATTGTACAGGTAAGAAGATGATGATGTCTCATCTATTTATCTATATATCTATCTATTTATCTGTCTGTGTCTAAACCTGCACGTTTTGCGTGTGTTCTAGTTTGTCAGTGTGTGGACATCAGGTCGAGTCAGGTCGCTGTGCACTGACAAAGATTTATAAAATATAGTGTCAATAAGCTGGGCCATCATCGGTTTTATTATTGGAGAGATTAAGAAAATTATTTTATTATTTATTATTGCTACAAAAAGTTCTGTTTCTAATTAAAACGACGCATTTCCGCTCTGGATTTGCGGAAGGGGGGAAAGGGGGGAAAGGGGGGGGGCGGTAATAACAGGCTTTGTATTGAATCTTGTAGATTTCAGGTCTTGTTCTCCCAGTTATTTCATTCATATATCAGTAATTTAAGTTTATAAACTATATTTTGAAACACCTCTGTAACTTGTGGGACTTTAATTTTGAAATTCTCCAGTGTTTCAGTAGAAATTATTGGTATTTCTGTGCTGCAATTTCTTGTTAGTTATCAGTCAACAGACACTGATATATCTGCCAAAAAATAATTTCTCCAGATACATCGGCCTAAGTTTAGTCCATCCTCACTGAGTCAGAACCAGTGGAGGCTCAGTGAGCTGATGATGTCTGAAGAGAAGAATCTGTTTCCTGATGTTTATCAGGTGAAGGTGGAGCCACCTGGTGGTAGAAACACGTTCCTGTAAACAGCGAACACCTTAATATGTCCAGTGTTTCCAGAGACCACCAACCAGTAGGTTTGTCTCTAATCTGCCAGTCGACACCAGTGGTTGTAGTTCACAGAGTTTGTGGCGTTTGTCAGAAAAGCTTTTGGTCAGTGGTGAGTAACAAACAGGATGATGAACAGGATCAGGTGTTGTCATGACTGAATGAAGTCAGACTGGAGAGTTTCCTTCTTCCACCTGGAACTGTGACCTCCTGTGTTTCTGACTCTTCACCTGTGTCTCCTCTCACAGGACCAGATGATCTGCTGCATCCTGATGCTCAGCAGCCTGGTCTCCTCTGTCTGGGGTCAGTTTATTATCCACTAAGTGAGAAGAAATGATCCAGGTTGTCAGTCAGTGTGGTCCTCACTTTCCCTGTGTGTCTCCTCAACAGGAACATGTGTAGTGAATGTGACACAGAGCTCCTATCAGGCAGAGGAGAACGAAGACGTCACACTGGAGTGGACGTTCACAACCACAGCTCACAGCTCCTCTGACTCTCTATTTATCTTCTGTGAACTGTTAACTGTTCACAAAGCCTCAGTCCTGTTCCGTCTCCATGAGGGCGTCGAGGTCCCAGAGTCCCAGGATAAACAGTTTTCAGGACGAGTCCAGTGGGACACAGACGTCCTCAGAGAAGGACGACTCAGACTCCATGTGTCCAGACTCAGGACTAATGACTCAGGACTCTACCTGTGTGAAGTCACCACAGGTAACGATGGGAGCTCTGACAGCTGTGACCTCAACATCACAGGTAAGTAGACTCGGTAAAACTTTGCTACCAGATTTATTTCAGCAGCTGTTTGATCAATAAGACTCTGAGAAGAGAAGAGCTGAGGACTTAAACCACAGGCCTTCCTGCTCTGACAGAACTAAACTGACTCACAGTAAATGATCACGTCTAAAGTTGGAATCAGAATATTTGTTTGTACATAAAACATGAAAATTTACTTTTCTTTCAGAACCAGATTAAAGGTTTAGTTCAGTCACTGGCTTACACAGTAAAGGCTTAAGACGACATTTGAAGTCATCACCTTCAGCTCGATGACAGTTTTTTGATGTTTCCTAAACTGAATGATTTGTAAAAATTGTATATTTTTTAAATTTGGAGGTTATTTTGTCAAACTCATGTTGCTCTTGTCCTGTTACTGTAGTTTTTTTAAATGAATGTTCTAACTCATTGGGAATCTTGTATTATTCTAGATCCAAAGTTTGTTAAAATGTCACCAAGCGAGACGCCGCTGCAGCCCAGGGATCACCAAACCCTGGGTCCAGAGGACACGACACACGTTACAGGTGAGCAAACAGTTCAGCTGTGGGTCCAACAAACCCCTGAATCATGATCATATTCATGTTTCCCTTTGTCTCACAGAAGCTGCCATTAAAACTCTGCTTCTGTCTCTGGTAAACGAGCTTATTAAGAAAAGAACAACAGAGAAGCTCAGCGACACGACGACACTCTGTGTTACCCAGGAAGCAAACAGGCGCTCACACTCTGTCTCCAGTAATTTAACACTGTTGTCTCTCTGCTTTTGATGAGAAAGGAGTTTCAACAAGGCCAGTAGATGTCATTTCATTTGTTGTGTAGAATAACAACGTGTTGTGTTTGGATGCCAGCCAGTGTCTCCACACAGCTGCTGACCAGAGGTCAGGTTCCATTAGACAGAACCAAACCTACACTCTGGTCCTGGTTCTAGTTAAACACTAGGCTGTGTGAAGTCGTCTGTGCTGCAGACGGCGGCTGAACCCGAGCTGATGACGGAGCTGATCCAAACTTAACGTTGGAGCTGCAGCAGAGGAGGAGCTGAACAGTTTTTATAAAGTTACTACGTTTGTTTCACTGAAGAGAACAAAACAGACCGAGCTGTGTCAGAGTGTACTGCTCATGATAAAACACAGTTTTACAAAGCAACATGTTCAGTCCTCAATCCTGTCACGTAAACTAATGCTCTTGTGTTTTTGCTGTTTTAAAAGAACGCCCAACGAATGTAAACAAAGACGTGGCAACTCCAAACGACACAAACAGCTCGACAGGAACTTGTACGTATCTTCACAGCTGCTCCAGATAAAACTGTTACTCAGCTCCATGTCACATGTTTGTCTCTGGCTTTGGCCACAGAACAGTTTATTTTTGTGAAACCACTTCTCACAGTCTCTCATTCAGTTTATGTTCATAGAACAGTTGTTTGGTGAAACAGGACGGACTGGACATGAAGTGTTGAAATGTCTGAGCTCACTGAAAAAGCAGCGTTTAATAAGTTCAATTAAGTTAAAGTGGAACATTGACAACATTAACTCAGTGTCTCATATCATTCCAGATGTTAAAGACTTTTGAAAATAGTTGCTGTTCTTTGTTCTGTTACCTTTGCAGATGCTGTTGTTGGTTGTCTTCTTGCTGCTCTTGTTGCTGCCATTGCTGCTCTTCTTGTCAGACTCACTAGAAAATCCTACAAAGAGCAACGTAAGTCTCTCATTTATCTTTCTCAGCTTCCTGACATGAAACTTGTTCTAATTTCATTTGCATTGTTTGAACTTACACAGTATATAAATGTGTGTTATGTCGACCATCTGATTATTAGTCACATCCTAGGATTTACATTCATGATGATTAAAGCCCAGTGAAACCTTCAGTTTCAAGACAGGAAGTAGTTTGGTCTTGATGTGGTGACGTGGACAGAGTGTGTTGAGCCCACAGTTAAACTCACACACATATTGTTCACTTTCCATGTAAACATTAGTCTGATCTGCACCTCGGCCACATGTTTAGTTGTACATGAAGTGGACCACAGAGGTCACATGCAGGTCAGCAGGGAAAAGAATATAATGTGATTCAGTTTGATTTGTACAGTGTCAAATCACAACAGTCATCGTCTCAGGAGACTTTACACAGTAAAGTCTAGACCTTACTGTTATAATTATTATTATTATTATTATTATTAATATAGAGGGAAAAACCCAACAAAACCCCCTTTTGAGCAGCACTTGGCAACAAATGACAAAACGTCTCTGGATGTAATGTGGGTTTTGCAGAAGTCCAGATGGAAGCGGAGAGAAACTGCCTGGAACTGGAAGGACTACGTCCACAAATGCCAAGGGGCGGTGTACAGGAAGTCTGAGTGCTGGCTGCCAGAGGATTGCGTAGTAGAGTAATTACTACTTCTTTTTCCATCTGTAGTTTCCCTCAGTCTATAACAGAAGTTTGCAAAACTCTAAGAGCATGGAGGCAGAAGGCAGAGAACTCGTTTGGACGGTACTGACAAGCTGTTTTATGTTGTAGAGGTGCACAAACCAGGAGAGGACACAACACAGGGGACGGTCAGGAGAACAACCAGGAGCTACAGCCACTGAATGAGGAAAACACACACAACATTAACACTAACAATATGGAAACACTAAGAACAGCAGGTCTACACCACCAGAACAGTCTGTTCTCTGACCAGCTACGAGGTGAAAACATAGGAAAGGATGAAGGATTTTCATCCATCCAAAAAGGTTTTTAACCAGGTGGCTCCAGAAAAACAGCTTTTATTAAAAGAAAAAAGACAGATTACACAATGAGCTCCGCTCATTTTATTAACGTGGAAAAATATTTTCCATGAAATGAAGCAGAAACATTACACCCAGAGTTTCTGTCAGTGTAACAGTGATGAGCCAGTTGTTCTCCTGACTGCTGGAATCTTAACATAAACAATTTCTTTTTTTTATATTCTTGATTCAAATGCGGGACGTTGCTCCGAGGTTCTTCTTAACATTAGGTTGTTGTGGACAGGCCACTTATTGTTCACTTCATTTGTTTTATAACTGATAATGTGATTAATGAAACAAAATACATCAGTGAAAAAAATGCAGTAAGACTGTGATATTTCAGTTTTTCTTTTTTTAATAAATCTGCAATAATGTCAAACATTCTGTGTTTTTCTGTCAATATGGGGTGCTGTGTGTACATTAATGAGGAAAAAATGAACTTAAATGATTTTAGCATATGGCTGCAATATAACAAAGAGTTAAAAATTTAAGGGGGTCTGAATACTTTCTGTACCCACTGTATTCCAATTAAAACCGAAAGTAGAATCTCTTTATGACTGAAAATAACCAGGGTTAATATCTGTGTTAATCATTTTAAGAGCATCAAATCAGATTTCAAAATGAAGACGAGTATAATTAACGGCCTGTTTTTGCTTCTTGCTGGTTGTACAGGTAGGTCAAATGTTTTTATTAATGGTGTTGTGTTGAAATCTTTGACACAATAAATCTAATTCCTCAATAACTGTACACACCTGTAATCAGACCACTGTGGTACCGAGAGCTGGAGGAAGGAGGTGGCTGAACTTTGATGGAGCTTAAAGGTAAAGAAGTGTGTGTTCACCATTTACGTTTGGAATGAGAGAAAACAGGAACTTGAAACATCAGATTTATTGAGAAGATCTTTGTCATCAGTGGATGAACCAAGAGAACCAGGAGTTTTCTCAGAAGATTTTAATTTTAGGATGAATATGATGGTTTTGACTCTGTCATAAAATGGACCCAGAAAATGTGTAAGTACATTAGTCTACAGTAGCAAATATGCATTTCCCAGCATGTTTGTGCCTGTCTGTGTGCACGCAGAGACCAACTGTCTGCCAGCTTTATTCGGTCGATACCTGACAAACTGGGAAGAGAAACCGGTCGGGCAGCTGTGGCTTTTCACAACACACCACCAGACAAATAACCTGTTTCATTTCTATTTCTGAGAACTAACTGGTCTTTTTGTAAATCCAGGATGCACAATGGCGTTCATGGTCATCCTTTTCCTGTCCCAGTCCACGATGGCACAGAATACAGGTAGATTATTTTCCTGATTGAGCGATCATACGTCACCTTTTGGTGAAAAATGTTTCACCAACATGTCAAATTCAGGTCTAACAGAATCGGACTAAGTAGATGTGTGGGGGTAGATCTGGGTCTGACTGTGTGAGGATGAACGTATCTTCTCTGATTCACATGTCATGGGTCGAAAAGCACTGAAATCATAAGATAAACATATATTTCTGTTCTGCAGACATGTGTAAGGATTGTAATGACCTTCTGTGCTACACTTTGAACAGTCTTGGCCAAGACACAGACGACTGTGTAGGTTTAGTCCAGACTATAGGAGTGACAAACAGCCCAGGGCGTTTTTAATATTCAGATATCTGCCTTCAGAACTTCAAATTGTAATAGTTTAAAATGTAAATAATATCACTCACTTTAAATTGTCACAGTGCAGCTATGTGTGTTGTTGCAGTGTATTTACATTGTTGTCTGTAACCTGTGTTTTTAATTATACACCAGATCAATGACTATAAAGTTCAACTTAATACCATAACAGTGAGTATATAATGAGGGTGGCACAGTGGTGCAGTGGTTAGCACTGTTACTTTAACATGCAGAAAAGCTCAAATATCTACATGTAACCACCTTTCTTCAAGAACTCACACTTCTGGAGAAAATATCTTTCTTCAAGAACTCACACTTCTGGAGCAGAAAGACGTTTCCAAACATGGCAAATCTAATTACGAGTAAATAATTGTTAGAGGGGATGTTGATGGTCAGAAAATCAAAGCAGTGTGTTTTAGTCATGAACACACTGAGGATATTGGTAAAGCAGCATATCTGATTAGTGTAGGTGAGTTCTGGCGTCAATGCCACTGTGCCAGTAGCATCACATTTACAGTGTCGGCATGTATTAACATGTACGTTGGTCTAACAATGCTCCTGTTTTCTTTCAGGTGCTGGAAACACACAATGTGTTATTCTTCTACCTTATGATTTTTGACATTGTCATCCTTATTGGGATCATGATATTATGCATGTACATTCGCAGACAGCACAGTAAGTCACAGATGTCTGTTTCGCTGCTGTAAATTTAAAATGTGAAAATGTTTAAAAGCCCTAATGTGCATCGACATAGGGACATTTATTTTCTTGGATAACTTAGTCCCACACATTGTGGATAACATATTGCCTGGCACACTAGAGCTTATCAACAAGGATGATGCACCTGCTTAGCGCTTCAAGTCATCGCATACTGCAGAGCTTTGACCAAGGAGTTGAATCGGCTGAACCATGTACCAGAGCAGGGGCAGAAGAGAAAATGCTCGAGTCATTTTGAGAACACTAACATGACCTGCTTTGTTATTTAGGTGATGCACTTCGTTGTCTGGGAGTGCGCGAGTGTCTGGCAGCCTGTCAGGAACAAGGCTGACCAGCAGCAGCCACAGCGCTACTTGGTTTTGTACTGCTTTGCAGCTGATCAGTCCTCTCAAACATGCTAGCCGACCAGAAACACCCAGAACTCACACTGTGTGTTGTATAGCTTTTTGAAGCAACATTCTTATCTTATTAGCATATATGCTGTAATGTTACCATGCTGAAAGATTTTTCTGATACAACCTTTTTTATTGTGATTACACCAAAGAGATGGAGAACAGAAGTTGCATTCTTTGTAATTAAAAGGAAATTCCACCAATTTTACAGATCAGACTAAGTTTACAGGTTTTGTTCTAACTTACTGGACAGATCCAGGCTGTGTGCTAAACTGTTACCAGTTTTATGCTAAGCTAAGCTAACAAGACTCTGGCTGTAGCCTAATATTTAATGTACACTGTAAAACAACAAGTACAATTTTAGTGGGATCAACGAATCTTTTCCGTTTTTAATTTCATTCAACCTAAAGTGCCTATTTTATATTTTCAGAATACATATCAAAATGTAAACATGAGTTGACTAATGAAGTCCTGACACGTCATTCAACTAAAATACCATGTGCTTGTGTGGTGTCAATCATCTAATCTAACACTCAGCTAGAACGTAGATAAGCAGATTTTAAAAATGCCAAACTGTTTTTTTTAGATTTTATTATTAAACATTCTTATCTCATCAAAAATGTCTAAATATGTTCTATCAAACATTCAGTAATGTCTTTAACACTTCCTTCTTTTGTTTGTAAAATCCATCTAACTAAAACTTAATGTGAGGTTTTGAACTTCTTGTCTTTTCCAACATGTGACCACAGCCCGTTACTCTGACCTTTGAGAGAGATTTTTGTCTTGGCTCAGCACTAAACGCGTTTCCTGTCACACAGCAAAACAACATCCAGGTCATTTACTTAAATCTGCTAAAGCACATACTGTATGTGGGTTTTAAAGTGGAGCAACCTCCTTTCTCCGTTTCTATTTCTGAGAAAAACCACTTACTAAGTTCCTGTCACCGCCACAGACCCACACACAGAAAAGGCAGGTTTGGTAAATCGCTGACAATACATGTCAACATTTTTGAGCAAAACATGGACATGAAAGAAGAAAATAAGAAAAGAATAAAGTACTAAAACTCAACAGAGGTTTTGTCTCAAGTTCATCATTGTCCAGTGAAAGTCATGAATGTCCCAACTCTGAACAGAGACTAAGTAGCAAAAGGAAAACAACAACAATAGATGTCTGGGTTAAAACTTCAAATCTCACACTTTTGCACCATGACAACAACTCAAACCACAAGCGCCCGTGGCCCCTTCACTTCCTTTTCACACTGAGCAGCAGCATTCAACAAGAATTACACAGTACGATTCATCTCTGTTACCTGGTTATGAGCACTACAGAGGTCTGAGGGCCCTGAAAAGCACTGGGCAACTCACTGTTACACATGGTTTACTGGGACAGTGTTGTTAGTATCACCTGTGCTTTCCTTGGTACCACCTAGAAACAGCTTGCAATAAAAGCAGAGGAGGACAGTGAAGGTAAGAAGAGGGCAGAATCTGCTCATATTGCAAAAGTGAAAGCTCAGCCACAAACTTCAGCTAAACACAGAGGGCTGTGATTCAAAAAAAAGTCAAGAACACAGCCACATCAGGTTGCAAACTGGCTGGTTTAATCCATCCATTAACAGCTGTGGCATTGGGAAAGGTGTCCTCGCCAGAAAAAATGTTGACTCGTTTATTAAAACCCCAGTAAACTGTGACCTTTAACTGTCCGACCTCCAAAATACAGATGGGAGAAGCTCTGAACAGATCAACATCTGCTGTCAGTTAGTACACTGTGCTCTACAGGGGGAAACCACACATTTGGACATATTTTGCCCTGGATTCTGCCTCTCAGGCAAAATTTGATTACCAATCAAAGGTAAAGCAGTGAACAACAAAGCTTTTTGTAATAAAGATAGAAATAAAACATCGAATTTGATGGTTCATTGCTGACAATTAGAGATAGTTTGAATTTTATTTGTAACATTTTTGATACAACATTATTGGGATTTATCTTAAAGTATCAGGTAGGGGATTACTAAGTTGGTCCAGGTTCAACCATTTGTACAGCCTTTTTGTAATATTTGGAAAGTATAATAAGTTATTTAGTCATTATTTGGTAGATAATTTTAATTTATAGATGTGAATTATGTTCCTGTAGATACTGCGCACTCTGCACTGCTGTTATTACACTTCTGGTTGGATGCTAAACTGTACTGCATTGCCTTGTACTTGTACATCTGTAATGAAAATAAAGTTGAATCTAATCTAATCTGAATATTGAACATTATATATTTGCATCTGGCAACAGCTAATGTTACTTTTAACAATGCTTGCAACTCTGTTTACTTCCTTTAAAGGCTATTTACCTGAAGAAGAGTCAATTAGGCCCAAAACAAATGTTTTCAGTATGAATTTGTTATGTAGAGGCAGCAGTGAACAGAGTTGTGAAGCTTTGTGAAAACATTTGTGAAACTTTTTCGGACTCAGTACCTGGATAAGTAAGATGTACATGCCCCTGTACTTGAAACAGTAATATGAACCTTAAAGTTGTTACCAAAACGTAACCAAACACTGAGCACAGAGGCAGAAGATCAGAAATTCAGAGTCATTGTTGCAGTGGTTATATGGTTATTTAGGTCCAGGTGCTGAGGAAAGACTGATGTTGTGATTTAGGATGGAAAATGTCTAAGTCTCGTTGGCATGGATGGACAGATGGCAGAACCGATACCACAGATGTTACTCATAACATTTGAGTCTGAAGTGAGAGGAGGACAGGAAGCACTGAAAGATCATTAGCCTCGAGTGAAGGCTCAGTGTTCACTATTCGTTACATCTAAAGGTCACAAGGCT